GAGGTAGCAAGATGGCATCTCTTCTGGTTTGAATGTGGAGAATATTCTCCACAGCCTATTGCTTTGAGTCCTTAGTTCCTGCCTTACGGTACTATTTTGAAGGCTATGGAGCCTTTAAGGGGTTGACCCTATCCAGAGGAAGTAGGTCACTAGGAGCAGGCCTCTGAAGAGTATAACCACCTTTATTTCCAGTCTACTTGCTTTGTTTCCTGGCCTGCCTCACGATCCTACTGTGATTAAACAACCACCCCTCATGCCCTCACCACCAGAAAGGATTTCAATCCCTCCAAAACCATGAGAAAAAATAAAGCTTGCTGTCCTCAGGTGTTTCTGTGAGGTATTTGGTCTCAGCAACACAAAAAGAGCTAATAATTAAAGTTCCTAAAACAAGCTGTTGTTTTGAATAGCTTCCCCAGGGAGTCATAGAGGCTCAGATATTTACATTGGGGGGGTGGAGTTTGCCTTGCACCATGCAACCTGCCCTTCTCCCCTGGTTTCCAGAGCATTTCAGAGGTTAATGCTGTACTTGGGGTCTGAAATGCCCGCTTGTGTTAAATACTTGATCACCAGCTTGTGACACTTCTGGGAGGTGGTGGAACATTTTTAGAAATTTTTACGTGTCTGAGTGTTTTGCCTGTCATGTATGATGGTGGAATTTGGGGGGGGGGTCTTTTTGAAACAGGGCTTCCCTGTAGCCCCAGCTGGCCTGGAACTCACTATGTAAACCAGGCTGCCTTGAACTTACAGAGATCCACCTGCTTCTGCCTCCCAAGTGCTGGGACTACAGGCATGCGCCACCACGCCTGGCTGATGGTGGAATTTTTGAGAGGCGGAGACCAGACTAGGAATGAGTATTGACTCAAGCCTATAATCCCAGCAATAGGAGGCTGAGGCAGGAGGATTACTGTGAGTTCCAAGCCAGCCTGGGCTACATAGTGAGCTCTAGCCTAGCCTAGGCTACAATGTAAGACTCTCTCTCTTTCTTTCTCTCTCTCTTTCTCTCTCTCTCTCTCTCTTTCTCACACACACACACACACACACACACACACACACACAAATAGGAGGAGGAAGAAAAAGAGGAGGAGGTTGAGGACAACCTAGGGAAGGGGATATTGGGACCCCAGCCCCTTCCTCTCTCTTTGCTTCTTTGCTTCTGGCTCCATTGGGTGAGTGGCTCTCAACAGGACATGCTCCTACCATGATGTTCTGCTTAACTATGAGGCCAGAGCAATGGGGTTAACTAGGCATGGACTGAAATTTCTAAGACTGTGAGCTAAAATGAGCTAAATGTGAGCTAAAATTTTAGTAACAGAAAGCTGACTAACACGGTTGAAGTCTGAGTATAGATGATCCATGTAAACATATATTTTTATTCATTCTGTTTTATTTTGAGACAGGGTCTCATGCATCCCCAGACAGGTGTCAAACTCACTAGCCAAGGCTGACCTTGAACTCCTGATCCCCTACTTCTACCTCCCAAATGCTAAGATCATAGGTATGCCCTCCTCCCTGAACTTGCAAAGATCGGTACATCATGTACACAATGCATTATGCTGTAGCACAGACATCAATATTTAATATAAGAGGGTTAGAAATATCTTTCATAACTCAGAATAAATTGTTTCCAGCTGATTAATCTTAGAGGGAGAAATGTACTAGCTCAATATTCTGTTTATGATGGAGATGCTGAACTCTCTTTTTTGGCCAAACGAGCAAAGTTAAGGGTAAATGGGGACTGGGCAGTTGGGAGCAGGACTTCATCCAAGCCTGTCAAGACTCCATCACACATAGTATCTTCATCCATCCATCTCCAGCCATAAAGGCCTCATTTTAAATGGGCTCTGAGCCATTTGCCTGAAACTGAACTATAGGATTCTTCTGCCAAATATGCATCTGCAGATATTTTTATAGATATGAATGACCTTCAACAGCTCTTCTCATTTTTCTAGTTAAGGTTACTCTATCTGTCCAGCTCCTTTGTCCTTTAGGAGAACATATAATCTGTAGTCAGATGAGGCTCGTGTGTGTATATTAGTGTATTGCCTGCACGTATGTAAGTGAACCCAGGTCGAGCAGTGTCCACAGAGGTCAGAAGAGGGTGTCAGATTTCCCTAGAATTGGAGTTGTGGACAGTTGTTAGTCATCACGTAGGTGTTAAGACTCAAACCCAGGTGCTCTGCAAGAGCAGCCAGTGCGCTTAACCATTGAGCCATCTCTCCAGCCCCCCCAGATGAGGCTTTAAACCCATGCTCTATGCTGCTAGTAGTAAACTTGGGGGAAACTTTAAGGTCTCTGAGCCTCAATATTATCATTTGTGACCTAAAATTTTTACACATTCACACAATAAAAGTTTGAGTTCTAGGGCTGGGGATAGGCTCAGCTAGTAGAATGTTTGCCTCAAATACACAACGATCTGGGTTCAATCCCCAGTCAGCACTGAATAAAACTGGGTATGCTAGTATATACCTGCAACCCTAGCACTTAGGAGGATGAGACAGAAAGAACAGAAGTTCAAGGTCATCCTCTGCTTGATATTGAGTTCTAGGCCAGCCTGGGATACATGAGACCCAGAAAGAAAAGCAAGGAAGCAAGAAAGCAAGGAATCAAGGAAGGGAGGGAGAAAGGGAGGGAGGGAGGGAGGGAGGGAGAGAGAGATGGGGAGGGAAGAGAGGAACAGGGGAAGGAAATGGAGGGGAAAGGAGGGGATAGAAGGGGAGAGGAGGGAAGGGAAGGGGAAGGAAGGGGTGTAGAGGAAAGGGAAAAATTTAAAGCCATATTTGAGGGGGACTGAAGAGATGGTTCAGCCATTAAGAGCACTGACCCTCTTGCAGAGGACCTAGGTTTGGTTTCCAGTACCCACATGGTGGCTAACAACCATCTGTAACTCCAGTTCCATGAGATCTGGGTGCCTTCTTCTGATCTCTGTAGGCATTGCATGCATGGGTGCATTCACATACATGCAGGCAAAACAGTCACACACATAAAAATAAATTAATTTTTAAAAATTTTAAAGAATTGTATGTGATTTGTGTTGGGGACTTGGTGCTGTTGGTTTGTTTTTTGTTTTGTTTTGTGTTTTAAACATTTATTTGGTGTGTGGATGTGTGTGGATGTGTGCATGTGTGTGCAACTGCACACGTATGGAGGTCAGAGGACAACTCGATGGAGTTGTTTCTCTTCTTCTACCATGTAAATTTCAGGGCTCAAACGTGCAAGTCATCAGGCTTGACCGCAAGCACCTTTACCCACCTAACCATCTTGCAGGCCCATTTTTGGCTTGCTAAAGAATTTCAGGACCAGTCGACATAAAGCAAAGTTGGAATTTATTAAGAAACAGTTGTATTTAAGCTTAGGGGTTAAGAAAGAAGACAGGACACACCCAAAACATGGTACAGGGCTTCTCAAAAAAGAAAGTTGCACAACTGTCTTAACATTAGCCATATAAAACAATTTTTGTGACTTCTGAAGTTATTTGTTCAAAGAATCTCTCAGACTGGCCTCAAATAGGGTATGAATCTGAGGATGACCTTGAACTCTTGATCCTCCTGCTAGGATTACAAGAGTGTACCATCACCTCCAAAACTGTTCAAAGGGTTTCTAAGAAACTTTTTAATTTTAGTAATGAAATTATAGGGCGGTTTTCAGGAACACTGAACAGGATTACAGGTTGATATAAATTAAAACTTAAAAATATATAGGTCAAAAGAATCAAAAGAGTTACCAATGAGCAAGTAAAGGTGCTCTCCACCAAGCTAATGACCTCAGTTCAATCTCTAAGACCCATATGGCTGAAGGAAAGAACCAGCTCCCTCAAGTTGTCCTCTGATCTCCATACCCATGCCCTAGTAAATGTTCCTGCACACACACTAAAAAGAAAAAAGTCAAAGGAATCTTTATATTGGTAAGTTACAAGGAAATCAAAATATGTGTTTTGATAGTAAATATTGTTCATAATCTTTTTATTAGTTTTTTCCGTGTATTTATTTATGTATTGCATGTGGGGGTAGTCACATATGTTGCTGGGGGAGGTCAGAGAGTAACTTCCAGAAGTCAGTTCTCTCCTTCAACCATGTGAGTCCCAGGGACTGAACTTAGGTCATTCAACTTGGCAGCAAGTGCCTTAACCTGGTGAGCCATCTTGTCAGGCCCTCATAATCTTATCTGTCAGAAAATTATGGGTTAGGAACTGTAGATGGCCCATGGCTCAGTGGGTACAATTAGGGAGTTAGCCTGCTTCATTGCTATTTTAATTGTTATTTGAAATATTTCTATTTTTAAAGTGAATAAAAGAAATACTGTTGCTGTGTAAACAAATTTTGATAAGTTTTGTAGAACTTTTTGACTCTCAGCCTGGGAGACTTCAACCAGATTCTGGAAAAAGGCTCCTTTCCTTTCCCATGTCTCTAATTCTCTCAGTCTCTGCTATCCTGTCTCAAGAAGAGAAGCATTGTTTCAATGTTTTACAAATCTTTGATTTAATACAGGGCAGTTGGAGGCCTGGACAGCTAAGAGGTAGAGGGACCTACTTGGCAGCTAGAAATTCCTATTTTTGCAGTCATTCTGTTGCATTATCATATGACTGGCTTTGAAAAACTCCACCGTACATTCATGAGAAAATGAGTGTGAAAAATATAAATAACTTAGTGCTATGCAAACGATTTTAAGCAGATATTTTGAAAGGCCCTTTGAGAACTATTGGAGAGAAAAGTTTATTTTTGGACAGGTTTACATTTTAGGATTCTTCTCTACATTCTTAACACGAGACGTCAGAGTAAAAGCGTTTTAAAAACGAACAAAGCTACTTCTTTTTTAATCCTTTTATGCTAAGTAACAGGTTTTGCCGTAATTCGAAATGGCAGCCGTAAGCGCACAATGCAGTCCGTATGGCGACGTCACACAGCTCCTCTGCACGCCTTCTTCCATGAGGGGAGGCACTACATTTCCCAGAATGCCTTACGAACGACGACGCCATTGGTCAGCGCGGCCGGAAGTGCACCTGACTGAGCGGAAGTAGAGGGCCTCGGAGGCTGAGAAGGTGGAAAGCCGAGGTGTGAGGATGTGAGCTGCGCCGCTGGGCTCGTGGGGGGTCGTGGGGAAAGGCGCCAGGCGGGGGAACTCACTCGAGAGGCGCTTTCCTGACCTGGGGCTCGGGCTGCCGCGTGCGCCTTGAACGGGGCGAGGCTGTGGCGGGGAGGTGAGGTCTCCATTCCTGTCCCGCTGTTTTAACTTTTCTCGAGCAGGCTAGGGCGAATTGGGACTTTGTCGCCGCTCCAGGGACGTTGGCGTGTTTTTGCTGGGATCAGAGGGGCCGGGCCGTGGACCGCATGACTCAGCTTCTGGAGCAGTGGTGGTTCTTTAAAAGTCACCTAGGTCGCTTTAAAAATGTGCAGCTGCGCAGTCCCGACTGCAGACCGGAGAAGTCTGGACCGCGAGGTTTTCTGAACCCTCGAGGGCGCTGGTCCGGAGCGAGGGTTGAGAGCCAGCCCCTCCCAAAGCGGGGCTCTGACTCCTGGAGATTCCGGGTTAGAACCATCTGCGCAGTGGTTTCCTTTCCACGGTTACCTTCGTAGGCTTTATCGTTTGCATTTTGGTGAAATTGAGCCCCACAAGAAACTTATTCTTGGGCTTTCGTTGGCGATAATGGCAAAGTTGGACTTTGTATCCTACTGACGATTTGGTCATTCAGTCTAAAAGATTAGGACTGACTTTCTCTCTCTTTTTTTTTTTTTTTTTTTTTTTTTTCCCCTCGCCGCTGTTTTGGGTTCTAATTTTTGCTACTCTTCCAGCACTGGGACGTGGAAGGGTCATATTAAAATCAGTCCTTTAATTAGAGTAGCGATTGAGGGTGTGGCTCAGGCATAAATCCGTGATTTGCCAACTAGTCAAGGACCTAAATTCCATCTCCAGCACCAATGGGAAGTGAGAGGATCAGTCATTTTATAAACTGTTTTGGGATGGTGGGGAAGACGGATACATGATCTCATGTAGCCCAGGCTTGCCTAGAATCTGCTGTAAATCCACAGATGACCTTGAACTCCGGATTTTCCTGCAGCAGTCTCCCAAGTGGTGGCACACCCAGTGATTACCTGCTTCTTAAATAATTCCAGTGAAGTTAAGCTAGGATGTGCTTGGGGATTGGATGCAGAGGTTTGTTTAGGTGTGAAAGACAGAATTTAAAATTGTGTACCTATACATATAGAGCCACCATTACATAACAGATGCTTTTTCTTTTCCCAGATAATTCAGCCTCAACTCCCTCCCTGAACTCAGCATGGAGGAAAAGTCAGAGAGCTGTAAGGTTCCAGAAGATCTGTTCAATGATTTGAAAGTTACAGATTGTCAGGAAGCAGAGTCTGCCAGCCCTCCTGATCCCAAAGGTCTGAGTTCCCAGAGCAAGCTGCTCAAGGATGATGAGGCCCTTGCCCAAGAGGACCAGGGAGAGGAAGAGTGTTTTCATGACTGTAGTGCCACGTTTGAGGAGGAGCAGTCAGGGGCCCATAAGATTGAGAACAGTGCTGGCAATGATTCGAGTTCCTCTGAACTAGACGAGGAATACCTAATTGAACTGGAAAAAAACATGCCAGAAGAAGAGAAGCAGGTAAATGTTGCGCATAATCTAACTTTCAAACCACTTTTTTGTAGTTTCCTTATGGGGGACATGGTCTATCAGTGTATTCTTTACAGGACTGAAACTCACCATGTAGAGTGAATTTGCAGTAATCTGTCTCTTCCAATTGCTGGGATTATAGACGGGCAACCCACTAACTGCTGAGACTAACCTTCAACTCTTGATCCTGCCTCAGCCTCCCAAGCTCTGGGATTACAGGCCTGAGCCCCTGTGCCTAACCCAAACCTCTTTTAAAAATTTTAGTTCGTTTTGTTTATTTTCTAAGACATCACGTCACTACAGACCTCAGACTGAACTTGAAATCCTAATCTTCCTGCCTCTACCTCCCAAGTGATGCACTACAGACATATATGACCAAGCCTGGTTTAAACCACCTTTAAATGCAAATAAATGCAATATTGGCAGGTAACTGGCACCTGTAATCTCAGCATTCCAGAGGTTTGAGGCCAACTTGGGATTCAAATGAAGACCCTGTCTTTTTAAAAAAAGATGTGGTTGATAGATAATGTACAGTAGACTATCTCGTCTGTAAAGAATGACATTGTGGCCTTACTGCCAAAGAGTAATCACAGATCTGAGATACATCCTTAGCATGACAGGGATGCATTGAGCATATCAACAAAGACATTTCTGGGCTTTCCCTGTATATCTAGAATTCTTTGTCTCATACAGCAGGGATCTATAGCATGTCTTATAACATGTATCTACATACACGCTTTTAGCTTGCTTTTGGGTTTTGTGGTATTAGGGATCAAATCTGAGGCCTTACAGATGCAAGTGCTCTAAACTACATATTCGGCCCCATGTTTTAGGTTTCTTTTTTAATCTAAGGTAAGTTGCTGAAATTTCTGTAATGAACCTTTTTTGATAAACTTATTTAGCACTGTGGTATGAATTATATTTGTTCATCCCTTGTTAGCAAAATATGACTGCCTCAGTACTTTGGTGGCATTGTGATTAACAGAGGGCAATAAATCTCAAGGAACGTGTGTGATAGTAACTATCCTTTGCTGAACACCTACAGTATACCAGTCATTGAGTAAAATGTTACTTGTTTTAAACTAATCCTTACAACAGGCCTTTCAGGTGTGTATATTGTGATACTAATCTCTGAAAGGAAATAGCTTAACGTAGTAAAGAAACTTGCCCAAGATTACCCACCTACTAAATGGTAAATTCCTTTCTCCAACTCTGATCTGCTTGATCCAAGTCCAAAGTATAGTGTAGCTTTTTTTTTTTTTTTTTTTTTTTGGTCTTTTTGAGACAGGGTATTCCCGGCTGGCCTAGAACTCACTGTGTATACCAAGCTGGCCTGGAACTCACTATGTAGACCAGGCTGGCCTGGAACTCACTATGTAGACCAGGCTGGCCTGGAACTCACAGAAGTTCGCCTGCCCTCTGCCTCCCAAGTGCTGGAATTAAAGGCATGCAGCATCGTGCACAGCTAGTGTAGCATTTATTAATAAAACATCCTCCTACAAAGCATGTGTAGTCAGTTAAATGTACACTCTTCTCTCTGACCTTGGGCCATATCCAGGCAGGCCTTATTTTTTGGAGACAGAGCTGTCCTCTGTATCTGATAAACAAGGTAGTCTGAAGAGTTACCACTCCATCTGCACTTATCTACAAAGAGCTACTGAGTGAAGTGGTTGGCGTAGAGCTCCAGTGGAATAAGTTGAGATAACAAATAGGATAACAGTGGGCAGATTCAGGTTCCATAGAGAATTGCTAAGACAGATTTCGGGTGACATATCCTTTAGAAAAGCTGAGAGGCGGTTCAGCATCAACCCACAAAACAAAGGGCATTACTTAAAGTCCTTGTAGAGGAGAGGGGTCTCTGTTAACATGAAAATTATCTTTTGGGGAATGGAGTGGGGAGGCTTTTGAGACAGGATCGCATAGCCTTGGCTGGCTTCAGAAACTACGTAGCTGAAGGTGACCCTGTATTCCTGATCTTCCTGCCTCTACCTTCCAGGGGCTAGGATTACAGGCATGCATCACCATGCCACACTGAAAATGTTAGGTTTTCTGCTAATGTGTATCATCAGAAGTGAATTAAAAGCTAGGCCCTGTGTTAGCAAGCATGCCTGTAATTCCAGTATTTAAGAAGTGGAAGCAAAAGCCAGGTGGTGGTGCACACAGTTAATCCCAGCATTTGGACACAGAGGCAGGTGGATCTCTGTGATCCACCTGGTCTGCATAGCAAGTTTCAGGCCATCTGGGTCTACAGGGAGATCCTGTCTCAAAAGACCCCACTCCCCAACAAAAAAGAGGGAGAGAAGAGAATTAAAGAGCAAAAATGGATCAAATTTATAACTACCTCAACAAAAATGTCTCAGCAAATTAAATCAAGTACTTGTCAGAGAAACAAATTTCCAGAACATCAGTTTAGGATTGAACTAATAAATGCAGGCTTTTTTAAAAAACATTGAGTAAACTTCTATGTTAAAAAGTTAGTGGCTGAACATGGTGGTGCATGCCTGAAATCCCAGCTCTCTAGAGGCTGAGGTAAGAGAATTACAAGTTAAAAGGAAGCTTGGGCTAAATAGTGAGGCCCATGGCAACCTGGGTCACTTAGCAAGACCCTGTCTGGGGTGGGGTTTGGGGGTGGGGGAGACACGACACGGACAGCACACACAACAGTTAGCTGTGCTTTTTTGATACTTTAAAATATACTGCCTTGTATCATGAATTTGCTAGTGTCTGGGTTTGAAACTGCCTAGTGGCTTGGCTCAGACTGTACTCTCTTCCTCTCCATTGTGGTAAAACCTTTTGATCTCCTAGACCAGGAAATACTTTTTCTGCAAATATGTTTAAGATACTTTTTTAGGGTTGGGGATATGGCTCAGAGGGCAAAAGCTCTTGCCACACCAGTAAGAACCAGAATTTGGATCCCCAGAACCCACATAAAAGGAGGATGAGTGTGACAGTCCACCTATAATTCCAGAATGCCAAGTGGAAACGGAATGATACCCAGAACAAGCTGGCTAGCCAGACTAGTTAAGACCAGCTTCAGCAAGAGACCTTGCCTCCATATATATGGTGGGGAGCAATCAAAGACAGCACACCTGGCATCAGCCTAAGGCCTGTACACTCACACCACACACACACACAAAGATAACCTTTTTTATTATATTTATTTGTACCTGTATGCATCTCTGCCTCTGTATGTCTTTCTGTCCACATCGAATGGCGCCTGTGTGGGGAGGTTGGAGAACAACTTGCTTACATATACACATTCCACTGTGTGCATCCCAGGAATTGAACTTGAGGCTTGGCAGCAGGTACTTTTATCATCTGAACTATCTCATGGACCTAGGATAATTTTTTATTGTCCAAAAATTTAATACTGCAAATAGAAATAGACTTCTCACTGTATCCCGCCTTTCAAAAATGTGTGTAATTTACATATAGTAGAATAGTATATCTGTTCTATCATGTCCAGTTCAGTGACTTCTGGCAACTATTGACCTGTGTAATTCACATCCTGTATTTCAAGATGTTGACCATCTCCATCATGGCAGAAACTCTTGTGCATTCCAGGCATTCCTTCTCCCCACCACCCCAAGGACCCATTGTTCTCATTCTTATAATGGTTTTTCTTGTCCCAGATTTTCATGTTACAAAGCAGTATTTTCATATATACACAAATCACAATCGTATTCATTTTAAAATACAAATTATAAGCATTTTCTATTTTGCATTTTATATGTGAATCAAATGTTTTCTTAGTTTGGAAATTCATGGCACTGTCTTAGCAATAACATATTGTATTGACCTTCCTGTTATGTTTAGAAATGCAAGTCAGTTAAGCTCTAAGGAGTTAACCTGTGAGACTGCCTTTAGCTCATACAGTGCCATTCTCTTAGCATGTGTATGTACATGTTCATGTTCACGTGCATGTATGAGATGCTGGCAGTTAAACCCAGGACTTTACATGTACCAGGTGAATGTTCTGCCACTGAGTTACTAGCTATTTTGTGCTAGTTTTATAAGCATTCTTGTGAAACTGTCATTAACCAGCAAAATAGGACAAGAAATCTCTTCATTGCATATATGGTGGTTATTATGGATCATTGGGATCAGGAGAATATTCTTGATTTAACAGAGGTCATGGGACTTAAAAAGGAAAAAATCTACTATGGGCCAAAAAATGAAAAGATGTTTCAGCCTTACTAATCTAATTTTTAAAATGCAAATTAAAACATGTCCAGTCAGGTGTGCTAGTCCATGCCTGTAACTACACCACCAGGGAGGCTATGCTTTGAGAGCAGCGTCTAAGAAAAACAAAAAAATTGAGCCTGGTGACAAGACTCAGCAGGTAAAGGCACTTGCTGCCAAGCCTCCTGATGACCCGGTTTGATCCCTGCGATCCACATGGTGGAACCAAAACCATGTCTCCCAATTTGTCTTCCAACCTCCACACACACGCCATGACATATGTGCACTGCTTGAGCACACATGCACACAGACACACACACAGAAATATATGTAATTAAAAATTAGCAGAAAAGATCAAAATACTGATGATAGGGGCTGGAGAAATGGCCCAGCGGTTAAGAGCACCGACTGCTCTTACAGAAGACCCGGGTTCGATTCCCAGCACCCACATGGCAGCTGTGAACTGTCCTTAACTCCAGTTCCAGGGGAATCTGATACCCTCTTCTGACCTCTGCGGCATTGCACGACACGGGTGCACTCACATACATGCAGGCAATACACACATACAACATAAAATAATAAAAAAATTAAAAAAAATTACTGGTGATAAGATGACAGAAACTCATGTACCAATATTGAAGATTTAAATTGCTGTATCATTTCTATAGAATACAAATAATTGTTTTTGTGTGGTATATGTATGTGTACATGTTCCTTTGTGTGTGATGTGCACGTGCATGTAGGGGCCAGAGGTCAACATCAGGCAAACACTTCTATCTGAGCTACATCCCCAGCACACAACATTTCGT